GGAGGAGGGGGAGGGGAGGGTGAGGAGGAGGAGGAGGAGGGGGAGGAGGAGGAATCAAGCTCAGTCAAAAATTGTAAAGACAGCCGCTCAGCGTCAAGGAGAAATGTGACTGTCCCAGACAAGTATGTCTTGGACAGTTTTATTATGAAAAGGAAAAATCGTTCGTTTCTTCATTCATTCATTTGTTCGTTTGTTGGGTTTGTTTTGTTTATTTGTTTGTTTTGGTGGTGAGTGGAGTCGGAAGTGGCCGTTTGTACTTGCGATTGTCTTGGACAGATAGTCGATAGAGTTGGTTGCACTGTATATTATATTATAATCGAATATGTTAAAAAGTGGCAGTTAGAAATGAGTTGCCATTAGCTAAAATACGTATTTGGCGACCGACCTTGTATCAGGTGATGCGTCCCATTTATACCATGAGGTACTGAAATAAGCGTTTATTATACAATATAAAAATAAATTAAACAAAAATACAGTGATGTGCCCTAACTAACTTTAAATTTTCATCATTCCTGTAATGCCACGAAAAAAAATCCCACAGGGACGATAAAGTGCACGTCATATGTTATGTCATATGTGAGGCATCCAAGTGAAATAAGGCGCTTGTCAAAATAATGAAATCTCAAAGAAATTGGCATTTTGGGGGGCTATTTTTTCTAAATTTTTTAAAAATTTGGCTGAACACCTTTTATGTCCATTTAAAAGGACATTTCTTTGTGGATTTTACTGAGAAAAAAAATTGATTTAAGGCACAAAAAATGTAAATTTTAAGTTTCCAAGGACTCTAAGGTTATGGAAGTTACCAAACTTTGGCGGCCATTTTCTCGCAAATTTTACCTCTGAAACCAGGCGACCCTGACCTCCTTAAATCGCAAATATTTCGACTTGTATTCAAAGTATATGAAGATAATACACAATATGCCCAAAAATATACGAGAGCCTGATTCCAGCGCCTCGTGCCACATATTATGTTATCTGTTGACAGCGAACCCTGAACCCGTCGTCCTTTCTCTACTTGTCCCATCTCTATGGAATGTACTGATCCCATGCCTCTTGTATATTTACCCGGCATAGGAGACAACCCTGGTCAGTCTCAAGTGCATCATAACGCCTGGTGTTCCAAGTAGAGGTGGCCAAAATCCGGATAATCTATATAAGGAGAACCGGAAATTCTCAATGAAATGTTATCCGAATTCAGACTCTTTACTCTCTTTCCTGACCCGTCTGCCGAAGTGGGTGCACCCGTTTGTCGAAGTGGTTCTTAGCCATTTGGCGCTTAAATGACCAAAATTGTGTCGATAGTGCCGTAAAACCTCTACTCAATCAATCATAAGCCATTTGCCGAAGCGGTTCATACCATATTATGATTTGCCAAAGAGGTGCACTAACAGATTATCCGGATTTTGCTAAAGCGACCCATTGCTCAGCCCTAGTTCCACGCGCTGACCACTGACTGACCAGTGGGGCACTGGGTGGTATACGCGCCAGGATCCGCCTGTCCCAGAAGGCCCTTGTCTGAGCGAGTGGGGTCTCCAGGCCCATTAACTTGGTGTCAGCTTGGCTTGTAAATAATGTATCACAGAAGGGGGGAGGGAAACTCTGAGAAGGGGGCGGGGGTGGGATGGGCAGCAGAAACTAAGCAAAGATGAGTCGAAATATTATTTATTATACGCACGTGCGTGCGTGCGCTCACACACATATCCACAAGCGCGCGCGTACACACACACACACACGCACGCACACACACACACATACACACACACACACACACACACACACACACACACACACACTCTCTCTCTCTCTCTCTCTCTCTCTCTCTCACACACAAACGATAATTATTTTAGTATCATCATTGCATTGTATGAACGGAGAGAGAGGGAGAGACGGAAAGAAAGAGAAACAGAGAGAGAAAGAGAAGCAGAGACACAAAGACAGAGACAGAGAGACAAGGAAACAGAGAGAAAGACCAGAAAGACAAACACAAAAGAAGTACGTAAACCTGAACAGAAAGTCGCAAACTAC